CTATTGATATGACGTGCTTTATGCACTAATAATATGTGCTTTGTGTCATTAAATTTAATTAGCTCAAAGGAATATTGTTGCAAATAAATAAATATATACTATTAAATGAAAAATTGCTTAAATGCTCATAAATTGCAAACTTTAAATTAAATTAGAAAAAAAAATATGTGTATTTAATTATATGCAGAGATATACGGTATACTCACTTATATCATAGATATGTGCACATTTCTTGGTGTATTATTATTAAGAATCAGTTCAACACCTCAGCGATCTTAATGTAGTGAATATGTTGAATATCATTAAAGCAAAATTTTATATATCTGAACGGACACTAAAAATGGATTCATCATAATGACTAATCCTTGTAATATACAAATGATAAAGAACTTACTGAAATCCTTGAGATTTTTTGTATAGTTATTTAAAAAATTTTTTGTGACAATATGTTTTGTCATTTGGTCGATACTATACAAAAGTTTGAGGAAAATTGAATCACTGTCTTCCACATCATGCCACGAGGACGCAGACAAAAGTCCCTGAGAGGCACTCATCAGATCCTGAAAAGATTTGTTTTTCAACTATAAGCTAATATTATTAAATAATAATCATAATCTGTAATTGGTAAATTATGTTTGATTTCAAACATTTATTTTTTATTTGTAAAAAAAAATCAAGGTGGAAAGTGGTGGGTGCAGGTGAAGGAGGGGGGTGTTCAATCTAAATATCTAATAGTCTATCCATAAAAACCATGTAGAAGACCTCAGTTATGCAGGTAAATCTAAATATCTTATAAAAACCATGTTGAGGATGGATTTGATTTTTGCAGATAAATCTAAAAATCTAATAGTCTATTCATAGAAACACTGTAGCAGACCAGATTTATGTAGGTAAATATTTAAGATGTAAATTAATTATTTTCTGGTCAAATGAATTAAAAAAGGTCAAATGCTATAATACAGGCCTGCACAACTCAAAATGTAAGGCCGGCTGTAATAATTTATGAAAAACGTGTTCGGCTAAAAGAAAGTAGGACAAGACTTCTGTGGGCCAAAAGAATATAGGTTATGGGGGAAGCTATTAAGAAAATAATAAGATTAAAAAATATGTCATTTCTTCGCGGGCCGCAAAGTGGGTACTGGCGGGCCACATGCGGCCCGCGGGTCGTATGTTGTGCAGGCCTGCTATAATACATAAATATCTTTTAAAATTTAAAAGTAAGGACAAATATTTCACTTTGGTGTGATCAAATTGTTTGTGGAGTTGGTGAGCGGTGGGGTGAGTGAAGAGGTTTGTGTTTTTAAAAAATCATGATAATCACCTGATAATTAAGGGCCCAATATTGTGGTGTGGATAGGAACTTAACTTATCAACTTTGAAGGCATGCAGGAGCACAAAACCTAACAGTTTCAACATGCTTCCAAAAAAATCACTGAACGGATCTGTTAACACTTTGACATCAGGAAAGCTAAGCCCAGAGGTGTTAACTCTTTCATAACAAGATGGGAAGATTTAAAAATTAACATTGCCATGACTCAATATCAATGGCGAGGCCAGAGGACCGTGAGCACACCAAGACATGGGCATAGACAAGAGCAGAGACACGGGCAGAGACATGGGCAGAGACACGGGCAGAGACATGGGCAGAGACACGGGCAGACACATGGGCATAGATATGGGCATAGATATGGGCAGAGACACGGGCAGAGACATGGGCATATATATGGGCAGAGACATGGGCAGAGACACAGGCAGAGACATGGGCATAGATATGGGCAGAGACACGGGCAGAGATATGGGCAGAGACACGGGCAGAGACATGATACTTAAATTATAGCGGTGTCCGCTATTTGACAGCTGAGCTTAGGCAGATTTTGTTGGAGTTTAAATGTGTGTGGCAATAGCACAGGTTTTAGCTCCCTAGAATGTGAGGGAGCTAACAATGCTTGGACCTTAGGAAAATTTAAATTGATTTATGGCAACAATTGAAAATGAAATCCCTATATTCAATAGTTGATGTAGACTTGGAGTTGGTTTAATCATTATTTTGGATTCTTTAGAAAAAAATTCCTTTAAACTGAAAAGTCATAGTTACCAAAGATGTAGTTAAGGGCGGGGATAGGGCTGCATAGGTGGGGGTGCCAAAATGGGATTTGAATGTAACAGTATTTTATTGATGAACATTATGAGTTTTAGAGTTGTGGGGGGGGGGGTTAATAATCAAAATTGTCATTTATCATATAATTAAGATGGAAAATAAATCCTAAATTGATACATTACTGATAATGTAAAAGTTCAAAATTATAAAAAATATTTAAAATGTTCCTATGCAATCTGGTATTAAAAAGTAATTTCTTATTGATAGCTTGTTTGATTTAATATATTTACCTCAAAAGCTGTCTTGGTCACATTCATTTGGCTTAGTGAAGTTAAGATTAACACAGCATGTTTTAAGTCTCCAGATAGTAGGGTTGCATTCTCGGATACTAGGTTATTTATGTCTTTGGCAACATCTTCAACATTTATTTCAAGGGTAGGATCGCTAATTCTAAGGGTGAAGAGGGGGAGTAAAAGTTTATTATAGAAAGAATATTTAAACAAATGTAGATTATTTTCAATATTAATTCTACATCACTAAGTCTAAGAGTTTTGTGAATATTCAAAAATTAACTCTGCCGATTAAGTTTTTGATTGGTCCTGGGATGAAGGTTTACTTCCGGTCTGTCTTGTCATTGACGCAGGGCTACCACTCACATTTTTAAAATTTCCCAAGATTTGGTGAATAAATTTCCCAAGATTTCCCAAGATCATAAAAATATATAAGAGTTTTTTTTAAAAAGGGTTTTTCTATGTAATTAATGTAATAATAGATTGAATTAATGCCCCTGAAAAACATGGTACATTAATTGTTTGAAATTAATTGAAAGAGACATTTTAAAAAATGTTTATCACATAAAAGAAACATACAATTTGTTTTTTTTTAAATAATTTATAATCCAAAATATCAATACCCGCTGAAGTTAGGCTACTAAATATTACCTCCGAATTCTCTGGTAAAAATATCATCTACAATACATGTGTAATAGAAGTCACTTGGAAACAAAGCTTACAAGGCTAATCAACACAGAATTCCTTTTACAAGGGCAAAAGGTTCTTCATCAAAAAATGATTTTTCTTATTGTAAGTCTGTTGATTAGAAGTGGGGTTTGCAAAGCAATGAAGCAAAATTTATTAATTATAATTGTAGTTAAAATGGATTGATATTATTATGAAAACAATAAGTATTTTTATTTTTTTCTTGTAAATTTATATCATAACGATTTTTTCAACAAAATAACATACTTTTAAATGTATGGTTCATTTATAATCCTACAACGTAGGCCTATACTTTTAATGGCTTAGTTACCTGTGTTTCAATCCACAAATATTTTGTTCCAATTGATGAAAATTAGGCTGGATTTTTTACAGATGCATTATATATTGAATACATTGTATGAGTAATTGAAATAATCAAATTTTACTATGGTATGGATCCTTGAATGAACACTACTATCGTTCACTCTTCGGCTTGTACTGTTTTTCGTATGGTTGCTAATGTCTAATAAATAGCCTAATGATAAAGTTTCCGAGCCTACCCCCCCTCCCCTCTTTAATAAACAGTCAAAACCTGGATGTAATTTGTAAATCTTCAATTTTTTTTTAAAAATAGAAGAGAAAATTGAATTTTTCTTTAATTATTAACTTTGTAACAATTCGCAATAATAATAACTTTAATATCAGGAGAGTTTTTATTTATTTGATGAGTGGATTTAAAATTTAAACCAGAAAAGAAAATTAAAACAATTAATTTTTTGCTTTTGTTACTTTAAAAATTATTTTGCTTTATTTTCACTTTATTTTTTATCACATATTGTTGCGTTTTTTCGAAAAATATAATAAAATTTTCCCACCAGTTAAGATTTCCCAAGGTTTTGCCTGATTTTCAAAATTATTCCCCAGATCCCAAGGGGGTCGTGAATTCCCAGGATCTTGGGAAATCTCCCAAGGTGTGGTAGCCCTGCATTGACGGCCTGCAGTTTACTACTTAATAGAATTTAAATTAGCATGTTGATGAAATAATAGGCACATATAGCTGTCCATAAATGTCATGGTGATATTATTGCACAAGGGATGTACATAATAATATTTTTGGGCTATTTTTATGCATAATGATAGGGTTGGACTATTTCTATGCAATGTGATAAGATTTGTTTATTAGACTTATTTCTGTCCAAAAATGAAATGAACACGATATGTAATATTGTTATAAAGTCATGAAAATTGTATAATCCTACCCAGAATGACAATTTATAATAATATTATTGATTATATTGTGCCATTGAGAAGAATGTTAAAATTGTTCAACAGCTATGCAATTTGAAATTATAGTTATGTTGCATGTATCTTGTCTTATGCCATTTTGTCAGGACCAAATAACTATTAAAATTAAAGATTATACGTAAATAGGAAAAATTAAACTATACTATAGTTTAAAAAATAAATAATACACAACACATTGCATGACAATGACTGATTGAAAAAATAAGAAAAACTTACTTATCAATTATTGCACCGAGACCTTTTCTTAAACATTTATTTAGATCTAACGATCCCCATGTTTTGTCTTTTAAACAATGTCTGCTTACGGTGCCTGTGTAAAGGGTTTAAAAAAAAAAAGAAATTAATAACACATATTTTATGAGCGCCGGACGTATATCTCCCACATTATCTGTCCGGCGACCAAGCCACATGACCGCCGTAAGAATACTTTATCGAGATATTCGTCCGGCGACCAAGTCACATGACCGCCGTAAGAATACTTTATCGAGATATTCGTCCGGCGACCAAGTCACATGACCGCCGTAAGAAAACTTTATCGAGATATTCGGCCGGCGACCAAGTCACATGACCGCCGTAAGAATACTTTATCGAGATATTCGTCCGGCGACAAAGTCACATGACCGCCGTAACAAAGTGGCTCGAGATATTTGTCCGCCACCCTTGTCACGAAACCGTGAATGATTCAAAACTAGTGTAAATTTTAAAACCTATTTCTCTACCAAGTAATTTACTAAGTATCTTGCAAACAAATATGCGTCCGTGGGAGGCATTTTTGCGCCCCGTACGATACATTGACATAAACTGAATTCACTCCGGTTGTGGCGCGCCTAAAGGTAATCATTTGGCACAAGCATAGATTCAACCCAGTACCCTTATTTCGATTGGCGTGAGACCGTGAGAGAACAAAAAAATTGAGTGTGCCAAAAACTCTCAAGCAAATGTGGGGACAGGGGTACTTATAGAAAAATGTTGATTGATTCAAAATGCAGGGATGCATTTTGGTGCACAATTGAAGTTTGTGTTTCTTTCAGACAATGTAGTAGAGGTCACTTCGAAAGTCTAGTTGGAAGTGTCAGAATTATCCAAAAAAAGATCAGGTACATCTTTAAATCCGCCCAGCCCAACTAAAATCGTTCCAGCTGATGCCCTTGAGGGTATACATAATTTGCACTAGCTTAGTGTCACCCTTAAATTGCTTTGTTAAATTAGAAATGTATTAATGGATTTTAGCAAATATATAAATTTATTTGTGCATCACTCTACGCTTAATTAGAGAGCAACGGAAGAGATGCTAGTTAAAAATTTAGTTTTGCATCACTCAATCGGAGCGCAACGGACGCGAGACTAGTTAAAAAAATTAGGTTTCACTTTACCCCAGAGCCATCGTTGGGGCCCTGCAACCCCTGCAGTGACCCCCCCCCCCCGGGAGAGATGCTCGAAAGAAGCACCGACCAACCACACCTCGCCTGCTGCATCGCCCGGTGCTCGCCCTTGCCACCCCCCATGGCACGGTACAACATTAGTGGACAAAGTGTCCTTAAAGCAGCAAAAATGATTTGTTTATACTTGTATTAAAATATTAAAAATAAATAGACAATAAAAAAACAAAATGAATTGTTAAAAACGAATTTCTTAATACTAAAGTTACCAAGGTAGTTTTGTGGACACTGTGTTGTTACTATCAGACCCACTTCAGTTTCTGGAAAGAACACGCCTTCTTCAGTTTTTTGAATACATTTGTCTACAAAAAAACATAAAAAGGTGAGTTAAAATTAAAGAGATTTTAAAATACAAAATTTAGCGACATATGAGACGGACTTTTGTGTAGTGCGAATATTATTCGTATGATTTGAGTGTAGTCCCCAAATGAATATTATAGCCCTGATATTAGTGGGACTTGAGTATAGCCCAAATATGAGTGCGACTTGAGTATAGCCAAAAGATGAGTGGGACTTGAATGTAGTACACAAAACAGTAGGTCTTGAGTCTAGTCCCAATTTGAGTGAAACTTGGATGGAGTGCCACTTTGAGTTGGACTTGAGCGAAGCTCTTAATTGTATTGCCTAAGTTTATTTGATATTGGTAGCTGTTTTGTTTTTGCACTATTGATTTTATACGAAACAAAATTTTTACACTTTGTAGGAGGCTTCATTGAAAACTATCATTGGGTTTGGAAGGAATTTAATGCAGCGGTTGTCTTTAGGTGAGACGGATTTATTGGCTTTTGGAGACAGCTGCAGAAACAACAAAATTTACTAGAAATCTGCACACACACAAAAAAAAAAAATTCTATAGAAAGGTCTTGTTAAACTATACAATTATTTTATGTAAAGGAAACGTGAAATTACAAACTGCAAATTTCATTCTTAATTTTTATACAGCAGATTTATTTTCTCCAACTATTAAAAAAAAAAAAAAAAAACAAAGTAAAAAATATGACGCACTAAACGCACTTGCGATGTTATTTTTTTAAAAAAAGAATCTCATTTAGCGCAGTTATCGGTAATTTAATTTTGTGAAACCAGATTCATCATGCTTCCATCATTGTCCCTTCAAAAACAGAAAACACTGATTTATGGGAGTCGGGTTTGAGGTATGCATAGTATGGGGCTGAAAATTTGAAAAAAAAAAAACTGCTATGGGCAACGGTCTATGTGCCAAGTTTCAGTTGGATAGGGGGCCGTCCATAAAGTACGTCACGCCCTTTTTGACCCTATTTAAACCCCCCCCCCCCCGTCACAAACTGTCACAAAACTCGGACAACCCCCCCCCCTAAAGTACGTCACACTTTCGAACAATTTTAAAAAAAAATTAACACCTAATTAAAATTTAATCTAAAACACACTTTACTATTAAATTGTATTAAAATATAAAATTTCCACTTAAGTTCCTTTATCACATCATTAAAATGACTTTAATAGTAGAATAGTTAATTGTCAACAGTTGTCACAGTTATTCATTGAAGCAGTGAGATTGAATTTGAAAACAAAAATTGCAAAAATTAGACTAGACAATTATATACTACACATAATTTATCTGCTGCTTTTTCATTTACAATAGGTGAGGTCAAGTTTTAGATAATCTTTCGATTATGCTATTTTTTACACAGGTTAAGATGTATATTAGAGAAACTTGACCTTACCAAATGATTAAATAATAAAAAGGACAGTGACATAATTATGCAGCGGACAGCATAAAAATAATAATGCTTCAGGAAAGATGAAAGCAAGGCTATACATAAAACAAGGCTTCTCAACAGCCTACTAGCCCTCCTAGCGAGAGGAATCGTGAACAACACATTCAGGAGATAAGCATTTCATGCTATTTTGACATAAAGCTAGTTCAAGTCATACACACAATTTTTGAAAATTATTTTTAAAGGTATTAAATTCTACTAAAAAAAAGATAATAATAAATTAGAAATAAAATTTAAAAAAAAAGAATATGTGACGTCACACATAGCCTGACCCCCCTCCCCCTGTCACAAACTGTCACACTTTCGTACACCCCCTCTCCCCTCTGGAGCGTGACGTACTTTATGGACGGCCCCTAGGTTTTGACGGAAAGTGGGTCAGTAAGCCACCAGGAGATTTTACCACCCAGCCAGCCCTGAAGAAAAGTGAAGTTAATATAAAGGATTTTTAAAAAGCCACATTAATTAATGGCATATATTAAAGGGATTTTTCCTTCTATGTTTTATTTTGTCTTATTTGTGTCATCGCACTCAATGTTGAAGAATTTTTTTGACCAAAGTTCCCCAGATGGTGGCACCGGTCCACGAGCCTTACGTTCCCGGTCTGCACAACATGATTATTTATGGTTAAATAAACTTCAATAATAATGAAGTATAATAAATATATCTGGCATCGGTCCGTGGTTAATTTTTTAAACTTGTCCTCTGGTCCGGAAAACTTAAAATTTGTGAAACACTGCTCTAGACCACAATGCTTATGGGATCCTGTTCGGCCTGTCGCATCAAAATCCAAAATATCTCACATATCGATATTGGACTGATTATCCCCCTTGTCTTTGTTTTGTTCATTCTCTCCTTCACCGGCCCCATTTTTACTATTTAACTAGGTCAAACGGTAAGGCAAAATACCATGATTAGAATATCACCAACGTTTTCAGAGTTTCAGTATCTCACAATAATGAATAGTAAGTTATGATAAAATAAAATTATGCGTATTGTAATATCTAAACGATCTTTCTTTTTGTTGCACTTGACGGAAAATGTCGCCCTCTCCTGAAAGGGGGACAAAAGAGCCACAGGGCAGAATTTCCCCCTCCCCACCTCTCTTTATTTTTTTTCGAGAGAGAGTTCTAACTTTCGCCAGTCAAGTCTTTTGTTTATTTGAAAAAAAAATTTTAAAAAATCAATTTTATAATTTTGACTTGTGTTTTTTACTTTGCCCCAGTTTGTTGTACGGGAACTGAAACTCACCCAAAGTGCATACACGGCAACCCCCTTCCCCACTCCGAGTTCGAGGGTGATTTAAAATATAGACAACGCTATGAAAACGTGACTTTTTTTTTTACATTTTAGAATTTTAGCATCTAAAGAATTTTAAAAAAGTGGGGGAGGGGAGAGAGAGATTTATGCCACAGTTGTTTCCCCCAATGAACACTAAATGTAAAAGCCGGGTTAGAGTTTTAGAATCTAAAGAAAAGATAAAATGAAATCAAATGGTTGAATTGAAAATTGTCAGATATTCTCTCACCTTTTTTCATTTTATCCGGATGACGCGATGTGAAGCTTTGCATAACATCACTGCCGACTGTGGCGGTTGCACCGTGGCTACTAGTCTGCATTCTAATGGGAGGGATGGAACTTGGGCTACTTCTTGTTGTAGTCGTAATGTGTGTGCTAGGACCTTGTGCTATTTCAATCTCGGTTGTTGTAGCAACTACATCAGGGCCTTTCGTAGTAGATTCAATGTCAGTAGTTGTATCAGGGCCATTTGTAGTTTCGATTTCGGTTGTTGTAGCATCTGTAGCCGGGCCATTTGTAGTTTCGATTTCGGCTGTTGTAGCATCTGTAGCCGGGCCATTTGTAGTTTCGATTTCGGCTGTTGTAGCATCTGTAGCCGGGCCATTTGTAGTTTCGATTTCGGCTGTTGTAGCATCTGTAGCCGGGCCATTTGTAGTTTCCATTTCGGTTGTTAAAGCATCTGTAGCCGGGCCATTTGTAGTTTCAATTTCGGCTGTTGTAGCATCTGTAGCCGGGCCATTTGTAGTTTTGATTTCGGCGGTTGTAGCATCTGTAGCCGGGCCATTTGTAGTTTCGATTTCGGTTGTTGTAGCATCTGTAGCCGGGCCATTTGTAGTTTCCATTTCGGTTGTTGAAGCAACTGTAGCTGGGCCATTTGTAGTTTCAATTTCGGCTGTTGTAGGATCTGTAGCCGGGCCATTTTTAGTTTCCATTTCGGCTGTTGTAGCATCTGTAGCCGGGCCATTTGTAGTTTCAATTTCGGCTGTTGTAGCATCTGTAGCCGGGCCATTTGTAGTTTCAATTTCGGCTGTTGTAGCATCTGTAGCCGGGCCATTTGTAGTTTCAATTTCGGCTGTTGTAGCATCTGTAGCCGGGCCATTTGTAGTTTCAATTTCGGCTGTTGTAGCATCTGTAGCCGGGCCATTTGTAGTTTCAATTTCGGCTGTTGTAGCATCTGTAGCCGGGCCATTTGTAGTTTCAATTTCGGCTGTTGTAGCATCTGTAGCCGGGCCATTTGTAGTTTCAATTTCGGCTGTTGTAGCATCTGTAGCCGGGCCATTTGTAGTTTCAATTTCGGCTGTTGTAGCATCTGTAGCCGGGCCATTTGTAGTTTCAATTTCGGCTGTTGTAGCATCTGTAGCCGGGCCATTTGTAGTTTCAATTTCGGCTGTTGTAGCATCTGTAGCCGGGCCATTTGTAGTTTCAATTTCGGCTGTTGTAGCATCTGTAGCCGGGCCATTTGTAGTTTCAATTTCGGCTGTTGTAGCATCTGTAGCCGGGCCATTTGTAGTTTCAATTTCGGCTGTTGTAGCATCTGTAGCCGGGCCATTTGTAGTTTCAATTTCGGCTGTTGTAGCATCTGTAGCCGGGCCATTTGTAGTTTCAATTTCGGCTGTTGTAGCATCTGTAGCCGGGCCATTTGTAGTTTCAATTTCGGCTGTTGTAGCATCTGTAGCCGGGCCATTTGTAGTTTCAATTTCGGCTGTTGTAGCATCTGTAGCCGGGCCATTTGTAGTTTCAATTTCGGCTGTTGTAGCATCTGTAGCCGGGCCATTTGTAGTTTCAATTTCGGCTGTTGTAGCATCTGTAGCCGGGCCATTTGTAGTTTCGATTTCGGCTGTTGTAGCATCTGTAGCCGGGCCATTTGTAGTTTCCATTTCGGTTGTTGAAGCATCTGTAGCCAGGCCATTTGTAGTTTCAATTTCGGCTGTTGTAGCATCTGTAGCCGGGCCATTTGTAGTTTCGATTTCGGCTGTTGTAGCATCTGTAGCCGGGCCATTTGTAGTTTCCATTTCGGTTTTTGAAGCATCTGTAGCCAGGCCATTTGTAGTTTCAATTTCGGCTGTTGTAGCATCTGTAGCCGGGCCATTTGTAGTTTCAATTTCGGCTGTTGTAGCATCTATAGCCGGGCCATTTGTAGTTTCCATTTCGGCTGTTGAAGCAACTGTAGCCGGACCATTTGTAGTTTCCATTTCTGCTGTTGAAGCAACTGCACCGGGACTTTGTTTTGTTGTAATGTGTGTGTTAGAGCCTTGAGTTTTTGTAATGTCAGTGCTAGAGCCCTGTGTCGTTGTAATGATAGAAGTAAAAGAGGAGCTGCCGGACGTTTGGGTTTCATATTCAGCGCAGGGAGACAAAAACCCGATTTGACAACTTCTGTTTTTACAAGGTTCCTGAGAACATGGATAAAAGGAACCAATGTTCGCAATCCTACAAAGACAGTTGTCCAATTCGCTAAGGCATCCAACATTGATAATCTGTAGAGTGCAGGTACAGTTGTCATGGCAATTACTTTCTCCACTCGTGTTCTTACAGCCGTCACCTTATAATTGAGGAGGTGTTCGAAAAAGACATCTATTAACACAAAATGAAGTTTATGTTTACGTATCTACATATATTTTATGGATAGTTCCATCCATCAATCAATCCATTTATCTACCAACCCATCGATCCATCCACCCCGTTATCCGTCTATTAATTCACCCGATTTCCAGCTATCTATATGAATGCACATCTGGGTGGCAATGAGAACCTATCCATGTGATTTCTAGTTCACCATGGATCTGGATCTTGCATCAAAATTAAATGGCCAGTATGTGAGATATAGCTTCAGAAAGGTAACTTTTAATATTTTTTAAATTACTGTTTAGCGTTTAAACATATCATTGTTTCTCACTTAAGTCTTTTTATATACTTCCTTTAATATCATAATAACATTTATCATTTGTTTATAATAAAATGGTAATTATTGTTACAAAAAGATTAAACTGCGATGTAGGTAGAGTGAAAATGCAATAAATAAGACAGTTGCCTTGAGGTGAAAGTTGAACATATCAAAATTAAATAACTACGCCTGAGTAAAAAAAAATAATCACTAACCATTCCATATGGTAAAATACTTAAATGCTTTAAACATACCAATATATTAAGTTACGATATACAAAGTTACTTTATATTAAGTTACGCGCTGAAATAGAGAATTTTTTTCAGGAATATCAAGTGCAAGTAGTTATTGAGACATAGGGATAAATATCTATCTATTTATATATATAAATTGATTTAATTGAACTTACCGTAAATTACGTCAACAGAAAAAAATAACGTCACGTGACCATCATTATAGAGCATCCTGACATAATAAAAGCCTTTGCGAATTGTTTCAAAAATGTTGATGATTCCGTCAGAAGTTATGTTGAAAAGTGTTTTTTTTTTACCTGGGAAAAAAATCATTTGTACAAACCCTCAAATTTAGCTTGTACATGAAGTTGGTGATTACTTTGTTTAAAATCAAGCGTATCAACTAGCTGTTAGATAATCCTTATATACTTAACCTGTACATGAAGTTGGTGATTACTTTGTTTAAAATCAAGGGTATCAACTAGCTGTTAGATAATCCTATAAACTTAACCTGTACATGAAGTTGGTGATTACTTTGTTTAAAATCAAGGGTATCAACTAGCTGTTAGATAATCCTATAAACTTAACCTGTACATGAAGTTGGTGATTACTTTGTTTAAAATCAAGCGTATCAACTAGCTGTTAGATAATCCTTATATACTTAACCTGTACATGAAGTTGGTGATTACTTTGTTTAAAATCAAGGGTATCAACTAGCTGTTAGATAATCCTATAAACTTAACCTGTACATGAAGTTGGTGATTACTTTGTTTAAAATGAAAGGGAATCGATAAACTGTTAGATAGACCTACTGCGTGTGTGTGTGTGTGTGTGTTTTATTAACAATTTAGAAAGCAATCAATTGTATTTATTAATTTTACTTTTAGATAGGGAAATACAGTATCAGTTTTGTCACGCATGGTTATTAAATTTAAAGAAACCTAAGAGTTTTGGAGAAATAGGCTATTCGCACTATTACGTCACTTGCGTGATTATTTAGAACAAATTAATTTAAAATTTTACTTCGCAAATGTGATTACAGTTTAATTCTTTGATCATGATTTTTTAATTTAAAATTTTTTTTCATAACAATAAAAGCGGATTTAAATTTATTCGATTTCCGAAAATAATAGAAAATAACTATGATTGCTTTTAGGAATCTGAACGTACTTAAATCTTTTCTGCGCTTTGGAGTTTCGTCGGTATAGCTCATTCTTATATACTAGAATAAATGACCCGATGTTATCGGGTTAATAATGGTTGATCCTTTGCGATATTTGATATTCATGGTTATCCTTATATAAATGTACCCAAGATTTGTTAACGCCATTGATCTTCTTAATTGGTAAACATACGTATATTTGTAAAAAGAGAGTAACATCTCTTTTTTCACTTATGTAAAAAAATAGGAGTTAAATATGTTGTCATCCACGTGAAAACGTACACATCCTATTTCCTACCTCCGAAATGTATTTACCCAAGAAAATTAATTATTTATCAAAACTATTCCTTTATTTTGAAACGTATCTTGTGCTGCCTTGGGCAAAATGAACATACCCATATTTGTAAAAAGAGAATGTAACATCCCTTTTTCACAAATGTAAAACCATAGGATTTAAATATATTGTCATCCACGTGAAAATGTACACATCCTATTTCCTACCTCCGCAATGTATGTTCCAAAGAAGGTTAATTATTTTTCATATTCATTCCTTTATTTTGAGACGAATCTTGTGCTGCCTGGAGCAAAGTAACCAACCCCTTCCCTACACAGATTTAAATAAATTGAGAAAAATCTTCTACCGGATTGTTTGATTTGATTTTAATATTTATATCGGGCTGGTATCCATGCCACTTAAACATGCTCACTGCTCACTGCGCTCTGGTCGCTCGAAATCTATTGAAACAAAAAAGTTTTTAATTGTTTCTTAAATGATTTTTATCATTTACAATTCCCCTCAAAGATTGAGGCAAATTGTTACATAATTATTGCGCTATCGCTTCAAAAGAGCGCACTCCGTAAGACTTTTTTCTGTGTTTATCCACTCTAGGAACACTCAGTAAGTACTGTGTTAAAGACCGCAGGCTCTTCAGCGGTACATGATTATAAATCAGTTCCTTGAGATATTCCGGTGCTGAGCCATCTATGCAGCTGTACGCCAGGGACAGAATTTTGTAGTTAATGTAGTCCCTCCCATACCCAAACTAAAATAATTTGCACTTCATATGGTTCGTTTTTGTTTTAGGTATAAGTTGATTAATCAATGCTATTTGGCTATGGCGTTGCGCTGCACTGTTTGACTTAAACCGCATTTTCTTTTAGAATTATATATTAAAATGTTAGTTTTTATTACGTTATAATTTTAAAAATGTATATTTTTGGAATAAAAAAAGGCAATACTTTTTAATGTTAATATAGACAGCTGAAATGTGTGTGTATTTTATTAACAATTTAAAAAGCAATCAGTTATAGTTATT